TAGGTGTGGGTACATGAGTACCGAGATTTCTCCCCAAATTCCCACGGCACGCAGAAAGGTCGCGCGACGGCTACCCTATCCTTGCACTGAGAATTCAATTCTCTCCCTTCAAGGCGCGCGACTGCGCGCGATCGGGTGCAGCGAACGCGACGCAGATTTCGGGGAGAAAATACCGGACCCTGTTTGCATTCACCCAATTCTGGAGGGACGCGGCAAACAGCGCGGCCAAATACGCCACGATTCGAACAGCTCTGACGTCTATTGTTGGGACACAAACTTGGAGTACGGTCATCTGATAATACTAATCGGGTGTGGTGCAGTAGGAACGACATTGTCGCGTTGCGACGAGAGGAACGCCGTGCACGAAAGAAGGTAGCAGAATGTGGCGGCAGGTTAGAAATACAGAAACAAAGGAACCAACAGTAGAATCATGCCTATAATAATTATCGCGTATCGACCGTATGAAGAACGCTAGAGGTGTAATAGCGGCAAAGCGAATGGTCCGCGACAGCCGCGGGCGGCGAATCGATTACACAAAACCGTTCCTACTGCCCGTCTCCCCTAGTAATCTACTCTAAGTCAAGTTTGTGTCCCAATAATAGGCGTCAGAGCCCTTAGAATTGTCGCGTATTTGGCCGCGCCGGTTGTGCCCCATCCATCCAGGGTTGGGTGAATGTTCCGTCGCCCATGTCCCCTGAATGGGTGTATTCATTATGAGTGCACCCACTGGCTGCTTTCAGACTTCAACGACCGACCGACNCGGAAACCCAGCGGGTTCCCGAAATATTTGGAGGAACCGAGTTCAAGTAGTCTGTAGGCCATTTTATACAACTGCTAGTGGTGAAANTCGTTGAAGTCTGAAAGCAGCCAATGATGGGAAATTATATGCTGAAAATGTAATGTATCTAACTTTTTTTTTTCTGAAATCAGTGGCAATCAGCGTAATTTCTTTTTACTAATTTAAGGAATCGAGGAATTTGTCTGTAAAAAGTAAAACAAACGCTGGAAACAAAATCCCTGGGTTTCTTTCTAATCACCACTTCTCTTTACCCCTTACCTTCAAAACATTTCCATAAGGTCCAACCGTCTGCCTTTACTCACTTGATGTCAAAGGAATCGACAGGAACCTGTAGCTACCATACACTGACCGTTGTGAAGCATCACGCCATCTCGTTCAAAAATATCTACTTCCCACGAATCGCACCAAGTACATGACACTCGTGTCCCAGTGACTGAATACATGGTCCCACTAGTTCTCTATAGATCGCCCTATATACGCGAACCAGCATGGGAATTATTGGGAACAGCAAGGGGAGTATAAGTGGTTATTGACGGGAGGTAATAGGAACGGAAACCCAGCGGGTTCCCGAAATATTTGGAGGAACCGAGTTCAAGTAGTCTGTAGGCCATTTTATACAACTGCTAGTGGTGAAATAACACATTCTAGTTTTTCAAATTATTCCCAGACCACAGAAATCAAGTCTATGGCATTCATCGATCTCACTCTGGGATGCACCTCCGGCAATCGACTTCCATTCAAAATCGTTGTTTTTTGAATGCGTATTTGGCCTATATAATGATTTTCAGTGGCTAAACGATGGGTGATTCTCTACTCTTTTCCTCCCAGTCTTGCACCAATGAGCCGACATCGCAAATATCAGAGGCCTGGTTGGCCTGGGCGAGTATCGATCAAGGAATCGATACCAGGGCTGCGAGTAATGTGGAGCACCACTCACTTCCACCTACCTCCGTCTCATCAATAGGGACGTGATCCTCTTTCATCGTGACTACAGTAGGTGACCTCTCTTACGGCAACTACTAGGACGACTTTTAACCAAGCACATCGCCGTGACATGCACCACTATGAAATGGCTTAAGCACTTCTAGAAAGCATCTGTATTATACATAAATGTACGATACAAGAAAAATACACTTCTGTCAATATATACAGTCAAAGAGCTGCACAATGAAGCAAAGAAATGAAAAACAAAAATAAATCTGATTATTGTGAACGGACAGTTCTCATATATATTACTTCAGCAAGTACAATATACAAAGATCAGAAGAGGGAAAATGGTGGAGCAAAACGTAGAAAAACACCAATTACGATATTATAGAGTAGCTAGCAAATGATAAATGATGTCAAATTCAAATATTGAGTAAAAACAATTAAATGAGGATCAAAATCCAGAAAGACTAATGAGAAAATGTTAGAAACCGCGTAAATTGATGCACCTTTCCCAACGTACTGGAAGCTCACTTAATCCATCTTTGAAAAAACTTGGCGACTTGGATTTGACGAAATCACAAAATGCTTTACTCAAATCTTCAATCTCCTTCTTATCACTCAAATAACTAGCAAAATTGGAGCTGACATAATTCGCATGAGGTGAGAGCATCGGTGTATTACAAGGGTACGGTAAACATTCAAAACCAAATCGGCAGAGGGTTTCAACCATCGAGTTTGCTAGGTATTCACTGGAAGTATCGTAGAGAAATATCGGGGCAGGTCCAAGCGCAAGTGACAGTTGCTGTTTGATTAAATTCCTTTTCATGTGATGGATGTACGAAGCAAACGCTCTTCCAACTTGCCTAGGACTCCTTGTTAGTACTTTGTGAACTATTACACCGGAAGATGACCACCACACTGATAGCAAAGCTTTTCTTTTCGATGAAATGATCTCTTTCGGTTTTGTATCCTCTTTTGCAATGCTAGCTGTTGCAGGCACGGAATTTTTGGAAGGTTTACGTGCAAAAGGATTTTTGTGGTCATATATGATCCACTCTTCCTCATAAACTACTATCCGGTCCAAAAATCCTTTTAGTTTATTCCTAAGATAAAGTGAGGAACAGATCTCGAGACGGCTGCATGCTTCCTGTTCTTGACGAAGACTTTCATCCAGTGTATCTTCAACTTTCAAAGAAGGCCCTTCTCCTCTCTTCTTCTTAGTGGGAGGAGATGAAAAGACCTCCTTGGCCAAATCTTTGAAGCTTTTGTTTGGATCTGATTTCAACATAGCTTTCCTGATTCCATCAGCTGCGCCTTGTTTACTGTTGTTAAGCTTCTTGTGGACGGACGTCCATTTGGTATTTTGCTCATCACGTTCTTCAGTTGAATATGAACAGGCGTCTGGGTCCGGCGGTCTGAAATTGTAAATACTTTGTCAGAATGAATGTAGAAAAAATCAGACCGATCAATCAAAATGACACCGAATAGAGCATATACCCACCCGTCGTCAACTTCCTCTTTAACTTCTGCCCAGGGGTTTTCTGAAAAAAGTTTTTTCAGCACTCATGCGAGGCAAAATTTGAGTTTGGGTATTTTCAGTATTCTAATACGTACCGACCGACAGACCGACCGATGCGTTGCTGGTCAAGTGTTGACAACGGAGGACAGACTATGTTCGATATTGCAACCGCTCATGCGACCCTTGACAAAATCTGTCCCGCGTTGCCCACAAGTGGCCAGCAACGCCGCCGCTCGGACGATCGGTCGGTCGGTCGGCACGGTTCAAACCTAAAAACAGAAATTCTACAGGAATGTAGCGCTAGTTAATTAACTGCATTTCAGAGTTATGCAAGCCAATAATACTCAGCGGAATACAACTCACAGACAACCAATTATTTTCGATTCACTTCAGACGAAGAGCCAGAAGCACAAAATAAGACAAGTGCTCACTAGGGATCAAATATGTGCTGTAATGCACAACTCATCTCACACTAATAATAAATAAGAAATCATCAATTGGTCCCTTCATTTAACAGATATTTCCTGGCAAAATACGATTAAAATGAGGTCTTCAGAGAGTCTGATACCAAGGGGTGACAAACTAACCGGCCAATGATATTCGACTCAACTTAAATGCATCATGAGGAGGGGGCGCAGAGTACAAGTTAAGGCATTCGAAAAATTATATCATTCATCGTGAATAACGCCTTCAAACCTCACCACCTTTCAGAAGCCGAGAAAACCTCAATTTTGCTCAAATCTCAACAATAAATCCAGGGATGCTTTTGAGTAGAAAAGAAATAGATTTCACAAATCAAACAGCAAGGAATGGTTAGTTTTACGTCAAAGATGAAGTCCCCCTACCATTTTACATGTTAGAATACGCTCTATCCCTGCTAAAATGAATCCAGTTTTACTCGCGAATGCAATTTTTTGCGCCCTATTCAATGATGCGTTTTGAGATGTTAGCCCTGCCTTTCGTTTGCAAAATGATGATGCTGTTTTGATGTTTACAGCTTGGAAAATTCTTTGATTCATTGCAAAAAGAGCAAAAAAAGAAGGGCTAAATGAAGTAAATCCAAAATTGAGTAAGAAAATGAGTAAAAGCAAAGTAGTAAGTAAATAAAAATGAAAAGTTTCTATTGAAATGAGCTGATTCCTGGCT